GCCGCGGCAACGGCCCGTTTCCCCGGCGCAGCCCTTGCCTTCCCGTGCCCCTCAGTCGGGGAGCTGTGCTGCGCCCGCTTCCAGCCCGAACGCTCCTGGGAGATTTGCGGTGTTGGTGCGGGGGCCCGTGCTGAGCTGCGCCTCTGGGCTCTGCCTGAGCCCTCTGTCTCACGACCGCTGTGGCTCCCTGAGCTTGGCACCCCGAACACAGCTTACACGTCACGCTGCTCTGAGACGCGCAGCGGGCAGCCTGGTCTCTTCCATGCAGCTACCAGTCACGGAGAGTTTGGGGCAGGAGAGAGCCAAAGCTCAGCGCGGGGAAGGGCGCTGCGGGAGGACGTTTGGCTGTGGCCTTGTACCTGACCCTCCTAACCTTACCCTGTGCTGGGGAAGAACGGCAGCGTGAAGAGGGGAGACAGAGAGCTTGGGAGCACACGGGGCAAAGAACTGTGCCCTAACAATCTGTTTGCCATACTTGGAGTGTTCATGTGCCTAAAACCAGTGGACATAGAGCTTAATTAAAAAAAATTGTCAAAGGATGTTTCTGTAAAACATTCTTCGCAGGTCTCTCCTCTCAAAAATTTAACACAGTTGGGTAAATTTGGAGCTAACTGATGATACCAGTTGGAAGAAACACATTCTTCAGCCTGGGTAGAAATACAAACTTAATGAAATCTGAAACAATGAGATAAATTTCACAAAGGCTATGAACATGTCAGTTACTTGTAGTTTTCTGTTTGTTTCCTAGAGAAAAAACACAAAACGAGTTCCAAGCTTTCGCAAGTTACTGAGAACTAGTAAAATAAAACTTGACAACAAACTAAAGAATAAACAGTACAAGCAGCAGAGTGCTGCTAAGAAGTATCGAAAAGAACAAAAGAAGCTAAGGGAGGCTGTCAGAGATGCTATCTCCAGAAAACCTTTTCCGTTGGAAGAATGCAAGAAGAAACAAGTTGGTAAGTGTTTGCTCAGAGTTATTTTTGTAAGCAGAAAGGTGTGAGGGTTACTAAATACCCTGCTGCTTCCTTTGGTAAAATTATGTATCAAGAAAACAACATTTCATTTTCTGCTTACAAATACTTGCTGTTGTTTAAAGGAAAGAAAGGGAGAGTTATGAAACACACAAATGTAGCCATTCTGGCAACACGATCTGACAGCTGGAGATGATAGAAATGTGTTTGCCCGAATCATTATTGGCTGGCGCAACAAAGGGGCAATTTTGTGGGATAAAGCAAAACACATGTGTGAAGGTTGATGAGCTCAAGGTTGAAGTAAGGTGTGAAATGGTCTCACAGGTGTAGGCAGGATTAGGTTTTCAAGTTTGAATGTATGTATAGGATCTTAATCTGTACACATCATCCTCTAAAATAGGTGAAAAACGGGAAGAAGAGGAAGAAGATGCTCTTCCATTGGACATGATGGATGAAGATGACTTAAAATTAATGGAAGATTTGGCTCAAAAAGCATCCTTTTTAACCAGAGATCTTTCTTCTAAGTGAGTGTTGTGATGTCTACTTTTCGTACTAATTCAGCTTTGTGTGGTTAATATGTAATTAATATGTAATGTAATGCATATATCAGGAGGCCACTTTCAGTCTGGTGTCTCTTTGCCATTCCATTTTCGTGTTTCTTAGTCTGTCAGTACATTCAGTATTAATGTATTGATGTGTATCAGTACAGTCACCTGCTCTGGTGATAGAGGATACCGTTTCTGCACAGTGTTCCTTCCCCTGAGGTCGCTGGCTGTGAGATGAGTACCGTTCCTCAAACTGAGAGATGCTTTAATCTGTGTAGAGTGTTTTTTTCTACATAGAGTATTTGGGACGTTCCCTGGACTTTGGGCCACTATACTTTCATATTGCATTGCAAATCGCTGTAAAAAAAAAAAAAAGGGTTCTGGAAGCCGTGTCTGTAAACACATGCGACACCAATACGTTAATACAAAACATTCGTTACCAGTTTTATGGAGCAAGCTGTTGGGTAGAGTTCCCAATGAAATGCGTAGAAGAGTAATTGTTCTTTTACCTGTTTTACTGTTATAGCTTTTACCTCCTTTCATAGTGTTCCCTTAAACTGGAGAATTTGTCTTTTTAATCTGATCAACTATAATCATTCTTAAGAACTTGTCAAATATTACCTCACTTATAAATTACATGTTCATGTTAGCACAGACTGAATACTTATGTTTTTACGTATTTACATGCAGGTTAGGAACATACCCTGTGGGCAGTACACCACACTGCATTATTTCTGTTATCCTTGGAGTGGGGTGTGATACAGGCTTTCCCAGCGAGCAGAGTAAAAAAGTGATAGTAGTACTGGTGAAAGTTAACATGGAGCATAGATAAATAAAAGTGTGCACTGTCCCACTCATTATCACATCCTGGTTAAGTGTTGCCTGGGAAGTCAAGGTAGGGTACGGGAGAGCGAGGCTGTGGGACGTCTCAAGAAAGACGCTGGACTGTTTGTCCACTGAGAGGGTCCTAGTCCTGCTTGCTTGCTGGTGGAGTCCTTCATGGCAGGACTGCTCATGGTTAAGTTTTTAGTGAGCCTCAGCCATGCCAGGTCACCTGCTCGTGCAGTGGGGGAGCACAGTGGGGAGGGAGGCAGGTAAAACAGCACTCTGGCCTAGGTGAGAGACAGGCTGTGCTGAGATCTTAGTAGTTTCTATTTTGCATCTTTGTGTTCTCCTTACTCTTTTCCAAAGTTTCTAATATTTTAGAGCTGAAGTCATGTTTCTGAAGGATGCTTGCCTTTCCAAGCTTCATCTGATTTGTTCACTGTTGCCTTACTTTGAAGGGTCCCTCGGTCCCATGCTGCTATGTGAATGGGAGCAGTGCCATCTCAAAACCCATCAGCTAGTAGTAGGGTTTCCAGATGTCTGGTATGACCCAGAATCTCCCTTGTTTTTGCAGCAGCTGTATTTTCTTCATTCTCAACAGATCAGTCACAGATGTGTAGAATTCCTGTGCTCATTGAGTAGGATTTGGTACACAGGAAAGGTTTGATCTGCACAGGGACAGCAAGGCTGAGGCTGGTGCACTGGCCTTACAATGCATGTGTAGAGCGACTGTGTCATGTGTGCAAGGAATCTGGGTAGACTCTGGGATATAAAACTACTTCTCATACAAATGGTTTTTACTTTCTGAAGCCTAGCAGTCTCTGAGCCCAGAGCTTTCAGAGTCCTTCAGATGTCCATAGTTGAAACTCTGCCCCTTACAAGGGCAAAAGCAGTGTTCCTGCTATAAAGCAGACCATGTGGCTTCACCAGTTTGATTCTTTATCCCTGGCTTTTAGTTTTCTAAGAAGATGAACAGATAACATACTTCACAGTGTGCCTGTACTAAAGCGGTTACACCATTTAATTAATCTTTTTTGTAAATTCAAAATCAATGCAAGCATTTTGCGTTTTGTCTTTGCTCCTTTCACGTTTAATTTCCTAAAAAAAGGGGATGGGAAGCACTGTATTGTCCTGAATTCAGAGATCCCGTACAGACTCACATTAACATTGTCTTATTGGGTGGTGACTGGTGCTGTCAATGGTGAACACGATCAAACATTCTACTTGGTAAGATCAGCCATTATTTATTTTTCTGAGTGCAGACACTTAATCCAGCTATAGTATACAGTCATACGTGGTTCATGTCTAATTAGATGGCTAATTCATTATGTTTGCCTTGTATTTTTCAGTGAACCTGTTCACGTCAAAAAACGAAAGCATGAAAGTGTGATTGACAAATACGAGAAGGTGCCAAGACGTATGCAGACTGAGCCAGAAAAAGAACTCATCCATCTGCTCCCCATCAAAGACAAAAGTGGCATTATTCCCCAAACTATGGAAAAGCCAGGTAAGACACAGATTCCGGAATCAGTAGAGTAGCCAAAATGTATATAACTTACTCTTTTAAAATTTCACAGTGTTTATTACATGCTTGACACTATACACTCTATTTTTGCAGTTCTCAGTGTTGCACAGGATGAAGAGGAGGATATGGAAGAAATGGAGGAAGCAGAGGGTAATAAAATACCACGTTTGATTTCTTGTTGTGATTTCCCCCGCCAATCACAAATATATCTGAAGAGTGCTTCGCTGTTCCCTAAGGAATTGTATTTTGTTGAGGGTGTTTCTGAGTATGTTCATTACCATGTTGCCCCCAAAGCATAACAGTGATTCAGACCTTGCTTTGATCTCAGGACCTGAGAACAGCTGGCTTCAGAATCTCTTTCTTTAAAATTACTTTGATTTTCACCTGGAACTGATGTTTGCATGACATTCCTTATATCAGTTGTGTCATCTTTGCTAGTGAGAAGGAAAATCTTGGTCTTACTTAAAGAGTACATGCTGTGGTTCTAGTCTGATTATTCTGAGATAATTTTGAAATTCAGTTCAGGACACAGACTTCTGCAGGCTTTTGAGTGTCTGTCTTTGAAATTTTTTACTTAAAACATGAAAATACCAGGAAATTCAGATTTCAATTTGCAGTTTGCTATCCAGTTCAGAGTCATATTCAAATAACAGTTGCAGTTGTAACTTTGCTGCTTCCGAGTCATTATTCTCTAGCTGTAATCTGAAGTTGAGGGAGGACATGCTTGTAGCAAAATAATACCCAGAAAATGCAAATAAAACAATTGTATTTTTAAAAGAAAAAGTGAGTGGTGAATAATTAGCTGTGAATTGCAGAGCACTGCAGTTTCTTGGCATAGTTGGGGTCATATGTTGAATTTTGTATGTTTGCGCTGTACTTGGGGAATACCATTTGCAGATTCAGAAACATTTGGACCATTTCTTTTTGCAAGTGAAAGATTTTGGAGTGGAGCAAAAATTAATCTCTGTGTTAATATAAGGTCTAGCAAGGTCATTCTTAAAGCTTTTTTACTGTGGAACTGCACGTGTTACCCTTGTGTGGTGTTATCATGGTACCCATCTGAAATGCAGTATCTAGAACTGTAGTTTGCAATATGGTGTTTGTTAAGCAGCTTCCCTAGTGACCCTCCTTTCTAACTCTCACACCTTGTGCTAGACTTTAATGAAGAACCCCTGCCTGTTCTCACTCCTGAGGAAATGGCTGCTCAAAGGAGACAAAAGCTGCAGGAAAGGAAGATGCACATAGCTGCCTTAGCATCGGCTATTCTCTCTGAGCCAGACAACAACGTAGGTAGCATTTACTTAACATGCATGTATATGTGCCTGTGTTGTGCAGTTAAGGCAAGAAGTAAAGATCTGAAGTGACCAAACAATAGCAAAAGCAGAAAAATACATGAGTTGAACTCGGAAAAAGGTCAGTGTTGTATCACTTCTCACAGTGTGACAAACAGTGAAACTACTGCCATAGGTTGGTACAAAGGATTTGAATCAGGTGAAGATCCAGGTGACTGTGTGCTCTGTTCCTCTGAATACTTGTGGTTTTAGGAATAATGCTGTCTGCGGTATTTCCTGTCCAAACTACCTTGTTGCTTAAGCATGATCCTTACTTAAGCTTTCATCTCTGTTGTATCTGATATCTCTCAATGCTTCAGGATATGCTAGTCATTTGCTGTAATGCTGTGCAAGTTTGTAATAGCAGGGTAGTTTGACCATTCCCAAGATAAAAATTTTGTTGGGACAGCTAGCATTTCTTGGCTCTTTATGCAGTGCTAAGTAGAGTGAATAACTGGCGAGTTAATTTTTTTCTCTTTCCAGTATTTAAAAATGAGGCATGTTTCTCGTGGCAAGCTTTTGCTGAAATGTACACTGTGCATGTATATTGGTTTGTGGGTGATCTTCAGCTGACTTTGCCTGCCTCTTCTCTTAATCAGATTAAAAAGTTGAAGGAGCTGCGTGCCATGCTGATGGAACAGGACCCTAATGTGGCTGTGATTGTTCGGAAGCTGGTCATGGTTTCTTTGATGGAGATATTCAAAGATATTGCACCTTCTTACAAAATTCGGCCTCTGACTGAAGCAGAAAAGGCTACTAAGGTGAAATACCAAATTTCTTGGTATTGTGAGTAGTTCAGATTTTTTTTAAGTTATGCCAAATACTAATACTGATTTATTTAATACGGATTTATAGTTTCAAGCAAAGGATGACAAACACATAAGTACTTGTGGAGATTCTGAAACTGACACTTTCAGGGGCAGAAGTCTTTGTTTTGAACCTTTAATTCTTATGTACTTTCTACAGTAAGTAGGTGACCATGCTGGTGGTAGTGGAGGGGAAAAACAGTATATGAAAGTAGCATACCAAACCCGTATGACTGTCACCGTAAACCTCAGAATAAGATGGTGTGTTGTGTCACACTGAAGGGAACTAGAAAGAAAGCAAATTATGCAACATTGTCACCTAACTGGCACAGTTTTCTGTGTAATGTGTTCAATAATTTGCTGAACAAATGCAGAATAACTTGTTTTCTGGAGCTTGGTTTTTAACCAATTATTTAGAAGGTTTCTTGTATATAGGTAGTGCAGTTTAGAGTCAAGGCTTTAGAATAACAACTAGTTACAAATTTCCCTTCAGTACCTATAAAAGAAATTAGCCAAGTTGGAAAAGGCCCTCTGAGCACAGGAACATGTAGAGAAATATGTAGAAATACTTTATTTTTCATACATTTCTAGGAGTGTCTGTCTAGAAGAAAAAAACTACTTTGGTATCTGATAATTTGTTTTAAAGCTTCATTTTTTTTCCACTGGCTAATTTCAGGATTTAGCTCTCCAAATAAAATTTCATGTGTATTACGTTTACAGGTTAAAAAAGAAACTCAGAAACTGAGAGAATTTGAAGAAGGCCTTGTGAGCCAGTATAAATTTTACTTGGAAAATCTGGAACAAACAATTAAAGGTACAGTCAACACTCCGTTTTTTGTAGTAGATGCAGAATTGTTTGCAGCATCACAGTTAACCTCCTCTGACTGAATGCTACCTGCTGTCCTTCATGCAAGTACTGTTTCCTGTAAGTGTGTAGGAGAATGCCTGCAATAACTAAAAATGTAAATATTTAGAAGGTTCCCTACATTCTGAACAGTAGTCACTAAAGATAATATTTTGTGCAGATTGGAAACAACGGAAGTTGAAGAAAAGCAATGTCATCTCATTAAAAGCATATAAAGGCCTAGCAGAGATTGCAGTGAAGTGTCTGTGTGAGCTGCTTGTGGCCCTACCCCACTTTAACTTCCACAACAACATTATTGTTCTTATTGTTCCACTCATGAATGATGCATCAAAAATGGTAAGTGATTTTCTGATTAGGGAAAAAGGTCTCGTTTTGCATGAAAAATAATCTATTTCGGAGCTTTATTCCACAATACCCAGATTTTGTGGCCATATCTTTTCACTATTTTACAGGCTGTGTCCACTTCCTGATTAACAAAAACCATTAGTATTATCAGTTTGCTGTTGTCGTAGCCTTGGCTTTACAGAAGAGTTTGTTTGAATTCACTTTTCAGATTTCTGAACTGTGCTTTGAGGCAGTTAAGAAGCTCTTTAAACAAGACAAGTTGGGCTATGCTTCACTCGGTGTAGTTAAGGTCATTTCTGGCCTTGTAAGGGGTAGAAATTACGATGTCAGACCTGAGGTAAGAGTCTTTCTATTGTGCTACACAATTTTCTTCTGTCTATATTTTAAAAATATCTGAAAGTTAAAGTTAGTGCAGCTGCTGGCTACATGGACAAGCAGAATTTTCCTCACTGTCAGAACACAAGCAGCTTAGGAATGGGCTGAGTTAGAGGATTAGAAAGAGAGAGAGACGGGGCAGGGGAAAGGAGTCTGGGAGGAAGAGATCAGCTCTTGACATAGACATGGGTTAAGTCAGTCAGGGGAACTTGCAAGTGAGAGAGGCAAACAGAGGAATGGATAGAAATGGACAGTACTGGGGAAGGAACTGGGAGCAGAGGTGAAAGATGCATATACGAAGGAACAGGAGGGGAATAAACAGAATAACCTTTGACCAGCAAAGCCCGCTAGCCTGAATGGAATTCAGGATTTCTTACCCAATCCGTTCCTCTACTGTGGGTCACCTTTCATTGTATCTATTTTATTTTACAATAGGTGTTAAAAGTATTTCTTCATTTAAGAATTAAGGAAGTAGAATTACAAAAAGATTCTGAAGACATTGCACCAAAGAAAAAGTTCATGACTTACAAAGAGAAAAGAAAAAATCTTTCAAGAATGCAAAGAAAGGTATGACATGTGCTGTCTCACACTCTACTTCAGGGACTTTATGTAGCAATTTGTTCTAGCAATGATTGCACTTCTCCTGTTGCCATTATCAGCATTGGTGATTAGTGGTTGGGTTTTACTTGAATATTTACGAGGTTCTACAGGGAATTTAATTATCTTCCTCATTTTTTTCTCTTTCTGGTGTTGATAATGCCTTTGATTGGTTATTTCTGATAGGAAGGAATATATCGAAGTTGGTTACCCTTAGCAGCACAGGGTGGCTTAAGCAACTCACCAAGCATGGAAAATTTGTTCTCCGGGTATCTTTGGAACCTGGATATCCAGGCTGGTTGGAAACCTTTAATCTGTTGTCTTAAAACCAACTGTATGTTTTCAGTGGAAGAAAGCAGAAGAGAAACTGGAACGAGAACTCTTGGAAGCAGAAGCGTCGGAAAGTAAAGAAAAAAAACTGAAGCTGGTAAGTAATTTATTTTCCTGTTTTTGCAAAGTAGCAGCTCCTAACCCTTTTGTAACCAAGTGTCCCTCCTCCATCCCAACCTGCCAGCATTCCACACCTCTAGATAATGTTGGCAGCTTATAAACATTTTGCCTGTGCCAGAGGTCTAGGTCTTAGTAAGCCAAGCCTTCTCAGTTTACTCAGGAAAGCCAGCTTAGTCATACCTGTTTCCTTCTGTTCTCTGCACAGAAAGGTATTTGAATCCGTTGGCATACGTCCTCCAAGTGCCCACAGGTGTCACACATGACACTATGTGATGGCTGTTACCAGCCTCTCAGGGTGGCCTTTAGGCCCAGGAGGAGAGTGGCTAGCATGGACTGAGGGGGAAGAGAGGCTGTTTAGCTAGGAGAGGGTGAGGGGACAGAGTAGGGCATAGGAGGGCAGCACTTGAGCTCTTCAGCATAAGAAGAGCAGAGATGGCAGTGCCAGGGCTGGTTTGGAAGGCCTGAGTGCAGGCTTGGACAGAGGAGCATTTTTAATTCAGTTTAAGTGAAGTAGAAATGTCTGTTTTCCATGCTTAAGTATTTTATTTTGTTTTCTTTCCTTCAGCACACAGAGACCTTGAATATTGTATTTGTAACTTACTTTAGAATCTTGAAGAAAGCTCAGAAGTCTCCACTTCTGCCAGCTGTGCTAGAAGGTCTTGCAAAGTAAGAACTGAGTCCACTTTCTTTTGTGTGTGTGAGAAAAGACATAAAGCACTAAAGGGATTTTTGACTTTGAAAGGGAATTATAAGCAGTGAGAGAAGACTGTCCCTGACAAATTTGTTGAAATTTGTTTATTTCTCTGCTGAAGTTTTCACGCACTTCTAAAAACATTTCAATGTGATGTGAAATTCCCCATAATAGAACTGATGTGATGCAAACACAGCAGGGTGTGATTCCATTATTTTTTCTGATGACTTCCTGAAGAACATGAGCATGTCTCTAGTGCTATAGTGAAGCCATGATTAGCAGCTGAGGGCTGAAGCATCCATCTGTGTGAAGATAATAGATATTAAGAATTTGAGTTAGCTCTGCTTTTAAGGTGCAGATTTTGGCAAGTCAGAATACTTTGAACTGAGTTTGCAGATAATGTCTATAACTTAAAAATAAAAACCTCTTTGGTTTCAGGTTTGCTCATCTCATAAATGTGGAATTTTTTGACGACCTGTTGATTGTCCTTCATTCTCTTATTGCATCTGGGGTAAGTTGAGCTTATTTTTATAACAGTTTTCTTAAAATTATATTCTTTTGGGTACTTAAACAGTTTTGTATTCTTAGGGCTTAAGCTATCGTGAGAGTCTTCATTGCATTCTCAGTGCTTTTCATATACTCTCTGGTCAAGGTAAGAGGTCTTTAAAGCAAACTTTTGTTTAATATTGTCTGATAAATTAATGGAGTAAATTTATTTATTTGGGATTATGTTAATAGGTGATGTCCTTAACATTGATCCAATGAAATTCTACACTCATCTTTACAAGACACTGTTCAGCCTACATGCAGGTAACTCCAGATTCTTATTGTCAGTGTTTACCTAGATAATGTTTATTCTGATTGTTTGATATCATAATACATAAAATATATACTTACATTATAATGTAACACTTACTATAGTATTAATAAACTACAGTTGTTTTAAGATCTGAGTTCTGAAAAGATTACTGTTTGTTCTAATCTACTTTTTTCTCAAGTTGCACATTGCACTACTGCAATAGAAATACTAGAAGTATTAGTGCTGTGTTTGAACCTGTTAGCTTTCATGCTGTTTCTCAGGTTCGAGTGTGCAGTCAATAGCACAGTGTTTAGCTGTACATTCCTTGAAATGGTTATTTACTCTTCGTATGAAATTATGCTTTTGAGGTGGTACCAATGATGATATAGGCATTGTGCTCCACTGCCTGGACGTCATGTTTGCCAAGCGGAGAAAGCAAGTTTCCCAGCAACGAGCTCTTGCTTTCCTAAAGCGACTTTCCACTCTTGCTCTTCATGTACTTCCAAACTCCAGTGTTGGGATCTTGGCAACAAACAGGGTATTAATGCAAGTAAGTTTTATTTGTTGGAATTTTTAGCTCACTGGTTAAAGCTTACTGAATTTTTTGACAAATTGATTTTATGCAAAATATTTTGAAGCATCTTAAGCAAGAATGATGAAACAGATTATCCTTAAATGCTGCTGAGACTGAATAACATGGAAAAAATCCTGAACTTAACTATGTTGTAACTGGATGTGTAACATCAGCAACTCAGTCTTTTTTTTTTTTTTTTTTTTTTTTTTTTTTTCTTCCTGTGTTTTAGACATTCCCGAAGATGTTATTCTTACTAGACAACGAATCTCAAGGCAGTGGAGTTTATCTCCCAGAACTAGATGAACCAGAGCATTGCAATGCTCAGAACACAGCTCTCTGGGAGCTGCATTTACTGCAGGTTAGTAAGTTGCTGAGTGATTCGAGAAGTAAAAGTCAGCAGTAAATATCCGCTACATGTTTATATGCTTTACACAAATAGAGAACAGCGGTCTTCAGGCTTATTGGTCAAATCTGACCCACATGAGCCTATTCCATACAAAGAGGAACAGCAGCACAATGGCGTAGGGAAGGAATGAGCTCAAAAGAGGATGTTACGCATCCCGTACATTAGTACCACATGGGATCTTACTGCAGGTTGCCTAATAAGACTCCTTCAGAGGCTTTTTCAATCTGTTAAATTCTCTTGCAGTCCAGCCCTTTTCCGGGGAGCAACTGACACCTTGATCTGTCATTCCAGCCAGGGTTTAGAGTCTGGGCCTTGGGGAGGGCTTCCTCTGCCCTTTCTCCTGCCTTCTGGGAGTTAGATTAACTGGAGACTTAGCTTGCAGCATGACATACTAGTGATAAGCATATGACTGGGTCTTCTCATTCACTTAACCCCAGAAACTGACCGATTTTGGGGTGCTTGGTTTCTCTAAAACAGAAGCAGAACCTTCCCTCTTACTGAAATGGAAATAAATGCAACAATCCATAGATAAATACGTTATCCCTTATCCCTCAGTCAACTGCCTCTTTTCTTTCTTTCAGAGACACTATCATCCCACAGTGCAGAAATTTGCAGCTCACCTTATTGCTGGAGCTCCAGCTGAAGAAAAAAAATTTCCCTTGATTTGAGCCAAAGGTAAGTCATCAAGGAGTTCTGTTTTTAAAAATAGTGCTCTGAAAAATAGCTGTTGCTCATACTTTAATAAAGGAATCCCTAAAAATAATGATCTGGAGAATTAAAAGATTCTGTTTTTCAAACTCAATTTCTTTGTTCTTCTGCCAGTACAGAATTTGGCTGCCTTTTTTTTTTTTTTTTTCCTTTTGAGGCTTGTTGCCAGGCTGTGACAAGGGTAAAAACCTCAAAGTGCAGTATGCTTTCTTCCCATGGGAGCAAAATATCTGCATCAGCAGCCCTGATCTGCATATGGATCAGGATCACTGAACCGTGGATGTTCAGTGCAAACTGGAAACCCAAGATGCAGCGTAAGGTCCATTGTATGTTAAAATGTATGAACAGCCATCCTGCTTCAGACTAAGGATCTAGTTCAGCGTCCTGTCTTCAGTAGTGGCTGCAAGCAGGTGCCTCAGGAAGAGTAAAAACAGGACAAGCATGTAAGACAACGTGCTCTGAGCAGTGTCCTAGCCTCTGACTGGTTCCAGCCTGGTGGGTTTCCTGGTTACCATTCCCTGTCTGGAATTCTTTCCAAAATTATTCAGTGTCCCTTGAACCAAAGCACATGTTTTGCAAATACAGCATTGTTCGATAAGGGTTCCGTGAGTCCACAGCTCATTATGTTACGGCCTGCCTTCTTTTGTTTTGAACCTGGTACCAGCATGCATCATTTAACCGTCCCTGGTTGTTACCCTGGGAGGTGAACAGTCTGCTCTAATACACTTTCTCTGTGCCTCACTTGACTTGGTAGACCTCTATCATATTGTCCATCTGTTTACTGTCTCTTCTGGCTGAAGGGATCTGGCCCAGACAGGAGGTGTTCCATCCTTTTCATCGTCTGTGTTACCTGTTCCTGAACTTTTACCAATTTAGGTATTTCAAGATAAGGAAATTGGAGACTCACATGCAATATTTGAGATGTGGGTGATCTGTGGATTTATACACTGATGCACATATTTTCTATTCTGTTCTCTGTTTCTTTCCAACTCCAAACAGCATTAAGGTCACAATCCCATGAAACAATCTGTCATGACAATATTCTTTTTCTGTAAGTGATAGTGGTCAGCTCAGAGCCTGATGATTTTACATGATGCTGAAATTGCTTTTCTCTCTTCTCCCCCTTCCCCCCCCCCCAGTTTAATTTGCCTTTTTACTGCCCATCTCATACAGTCTATCTGCAGTTCTTCACAGGCAGCTCATTCTTAGTACTGCAAATAACTTGGTACTCTCCAGCTCATCTTTGAGTGTGTTGAAAAGCACGGGTCCTGGCACAGACCTTGTGGAAATCCATAGTTTCTTCCTGCCGTTGCAAAAGCTGATCATAGACTCCTGTCCTGTGCTTCCTGTCTTGTAACCCATGTTCTCCCATGGCTGCTAGTTTTCATAAAGCTCTTTGGTAAGGAACTGTTGGAAATTCAGGCAGATAGTATCACATAGGTAACCTTTATCCATGTTTTGGGGTGGTTTTTTTTTACTTTTTCAAGTATGTACAGGGCAAGCAGTGACTGCTTGGAGCACAGCAAGCCAACAGAACAGTTTTCTTGTCTCCCATTTCTTCTTCTGTCCCCCAGCTGAGTATTCAGACACATTTTACTTGCTTTCACTTGCATTGTTCCCCAGCTGTTGGCTTCTGATCTTTTCCAGGTGATGCTCATTACTCTGAGGAGTTCTCTTAAAGCCTGGTACTCGAGGGCATGAATGGTGTGTGTGGGAGAAGCTGCTCTTGGTTTAGTGATACGTTATTTAGAAATGTATCTAATGCCATTTTTTCTTTCATTGTGGTTTTTGCTATAGGCCTGCTACAGAACTTTTCGAGGCATACTGTATGAGAGGGATGACCTTTAATCCTCCTGTTGCTTCAGTAACATCCAGAAGAAAGGTACCATCTCCTCTATGTCCTTTTTTTAACTACGTGATATACTAGTATAACCTGTATCTGCTGGCTCCCTATGCAGTGCCCAGGCATTAGCATGCTTTGTTTGGCTTTCTGGTTTCTGTACTTTCTGTGTCAAGTTTTTTTATTTTTTTTAACTGGCATAAAATAGCACTGACTTTAAAGAAAGAAGGAAAGCGGTATGAATAGTTCCACTTCCTATAGCATCAGTTAATGTTGCAAGATGAATGTGGTGGCTATTATTTTACTTATCTTTTCCACTTTGCAGTGGTTCAGTGCAGATTTCTTGTCCCTTTTCTGTAATGATGAACTAATGTTTGTTCAAAAAGCAGTAATAAAAAGCCAGCTCTCTTTCCCCCAGCGTCGGTAGTTGGCAGGGCAGCTGGATTTCCAGAGCCTTTGATTCAGTATGTAGAAGGATACTCATCCCCCTTAGTGTCAGTTTAAAGCTTTAAAGTGTAAATTTGAAGGGAACAAAGAGCTAATGTATAAAGAGGAGAAATGGGTGAACGCTTTTTAGATCCTTAGCATTGGATGTGTTCCAGATGCTGACTTCCATTAAATGTCCAGTGAGTGGTGTGTCCTTTAAAAAGTGGTAATTAATTTTCTTTCTTCCTAATGAAAACATTATAACCTAGTAACCTTGTCAGTGCCTCCAATTTGTAACTCAGTAATGTCAGTTAAAGCCTTGAGAGCACTTTTTTTTTTTCCCCTCCATTTTAGAGAAGCAACTTCTGAAAATTTATTTGTACTTACTTATTCCATCCTTTCACGATGACTTCTTGACGTGTCTGTCCTGCTAGGGTGTTACATTAGCGGCTCTGACAGACCAAGGCTGGGAGCAGCAGATAAGAGAGAGATTGTGTAGTGCTTGAATAAGGAAGTGCACAAGCTTTTTAAGGTAGCAGAAACAAATGAAGAGGAAGATACCAGAGAAAACAAACTGTCCGTAGGTGGTTATAATGGACATAACTGCGAAAACTACCCTGGGGTCTTGCCTACTCTCTGGCTGTTTGGCTCATTTTAACAAATCTTGGCAGTATCTAAGTTTGTCCTGCGTGTTTTTCTCTGTGTGCCATGCTGCCATTGTCTGTCAGCACTTCCCCCCTGTTGACAGAAGCTCTGAATTGGAGTTGTCTTTCCCTGTGCACCACTAAAGAGGGGCTCTCATTCATCCCCGAGTGCACAAAGTACTTGACCCTGTGAGTGCTAAGCCTTCGACAGGGAGGTATAAATCATGTGCGTGACCTTCCTCAGCACCAGGGAAGAGCAGAGTTCCAGAGCTGGCTGCAGCCAGAAGGGACCTCGTGAGGCAAGGTCAGGGCACTCCTTTGCGACTCACAACCTCTACTGTTAGTATCGTTGCTTTCACACCAAGCATCTCTGATCAAAAGGCTAGTATTTTTATAAGGTGCGTTGAACAGGAACCGGTGCGTAAGCTCCTTCAGAGCTGGAGGCTGCGGCTCTGTGTAGTAGGTGTTCTTCTGAAGCCCAGTTTACAAAAAACATCACCAAAAAACCATGAGCTCGTGAAGGACTGCCTGACTCATCGCTTTGTTGCTAGCCAAGGGCAGCTTACTGGCAGGCCAGATAGATGTGAACTAGGTCCGTGGTCTGGTCTAGATGCCTGGGGGCACGGGAGAGAAACAGGACTGCTGATGTAAGGTATGCATGGAAAATGCATACTGGCCTTGTTCAGTAATGCAACTAATTAATACTTTTTTAATTTCCAGGATACATTCTCACAAATGGATTCATTTCTAGATGAAGAGCTAAACAAACAGCTTCAACAGCACATCAGTGAAACTGTTGTTCACAAACCCTTGGATTTTGCTAAACACTTGAAGGAATCGTCCTTGTTGTAAATGTATCTATCAGTCAGTCATGTTCAGTTGGCTGCTTAATTATGGAGAAAGAATGGCTGAAAGAAATTTCCACTCATCATTAAAGGAATTCAAGTAGGCTTTTGAATACAGAAACACACAAAAAAAAGTAACAGCAGTTTGTCACACAGAGTTACAAGGCCTCTCCGCTTAACCACCGAGTCCATGTTCTCAGGGCTTGGGAACTACAATGCAGTCACATCAGTAATTTAAAAAGATACAAACCCAGGTAATTTTAAAATGGTTTGCAACCATGCATTATAGTATTTTTGTTTATATATTTTCTAATTTTTATAACAGAATATAGACATACATGTTTCTGAGAAATCAGTGGGTTGTCTTAATTAAATTAATAAATATTTTGGAAAATTGAATATAATACTGACTTTGATGTTTAAGATACCTAGAGATTGCTTTTTTTTTCTGTTTTTCTTCTGATGTCTCCTAACAATTAATCTCATCTTGAAATGATTTTGCATTGCGGGGGGGCGGGGGAGGAGGAGGTTCCCCTCTGATGAATCTTGGTGTTGGCAAATTGAGATTGCTGAATTCCAGTTCTGAGCTATCATCATGATTGAATGCTCTACTACAGTGTCTTCAATAAACCAGCGCTGTCAAGAATACAGGACAAATGCAAGGTAAGAATCTAAATTTTTTTTTATTTTTTTTTAATCTTAATTAATTCCCCAAATATTAGTTATTGCCTGGTTGTTTTGGAATCCATTTTCAGCTGCACGTCGGCTTTGCAAACAGTGAGTAAAATGTATGAAATAACTTAAAAGTGAGTATCGGCGTTATGCGAATTCCATTCTGCCGGGGGGGGTGTGGTGGGGCTGTCCCTGGCTGGCAGCTAATATGTTCTGTGGTGTTTAGTCTGTGATGTGATAATGATACGTGTTGTAAGTTTTGCAAAGCTTTTGTTCAAGTCAGTTAACCTCCTTGCAATAATCAGAAGATACTTCTTTTTCTCTAGGATATTTAGTCCTTTATCCTGATGTGTGGTTCTTAAATAGTTTTAGAAGTAATTTATTTTTATTTGAATACGTGTTTTTTAGTATTAATCTGCCTAGTTCACCAAATTTCAAGTAGTTAAACACAAATCCACAAACATTTTTGGAATAGACATCGATCTATTAATGGATTAGAAAACACGTATTTTACTGTGTAGATTACAAAACTGCCTATGTAGTACTGAAGGTAACACATGTTCCTGTCTATTCAGGTTGCCGTTCCCATAGCTTTTGAGTTGTTCTTTTTGGTTGTTAAGTGGTTGCAAATATGGATGTGATTTAAATTCTGAAAATTCCAAGGGGGAATATTTGCCAGTACTTGTCAGTTCAGGAAGGCAAAAGCAAAGAGCCAACATCTTAAACCATTTATTTTTTTTTTTTTTTTTTACAACATATACAAATACCAGTTTATTCTTCAAGTCAGCAGAGAGAAAATAATCCAGGTGGAAAAGTCACTTTTAAAATTGTTCATTTTACATAGTTTCCACACAAAATAAAGACTGGCACATAGTGATGTTGCATTGTCAGAATACTTGGACATGCTTTAAGAGGCAGAGGAAGACAGCTGTACAACTACGTCATTCTGAAATAACCTATACATGTATTGGAGCAAAATCTCTTTACTGCTATTGATTTTTGTGTTTAATTTGCTAAGTCTGCCAGATGTCTATCACTATTGAAGTTACAAAATAATTTATCACAGACAGGAAGAACGCCACCTTTGTTACATTTAGTGGGCTACCCTAAGAGTGAACGGAGTTTTACAGCGGACTAGTAATGGCCAGTGATTAAAAAGCAAATGTTAGCTGAAGCATTTGGAGAGCTAGAGCAGAACGGACAGATCAGTTTCAGAAGCTGCAGACTCACCCTTTCACTGAAATGTAAAGCTACCAGCAAGTTCTTCTTTAAAAAAGACAAACTATGAATGTAAGAGAATGTGTTCTTGAAATATTTAGCTATTTCCATGTTAAAAGTCCTTAATTCTTGAAAGCACGTGTTTTCTAGAAGCATACGGCTTTCTAATGATGGCTATCGATATACTTCATCTAGTAATATTTGTAGCAATAAAATAATGTGACTAGGTTTTAAAAATTAAAACTGACATGGTATTTTTTTTATTCTTCTAACTGCTAATCTTAGGATTAGTAAGATAGAAACAGGAAGCCCTTCAGGTGATGGGAACTACCTCCTGCAGACTGACGAGCACTGCAACAGGGCCAGGTTCTGTGGCTGCCCAACTTTTGTCCCATACAGTCACACCACTGCAAGCAGCATGTGCTATGTAAGGAAAATATAAGAAAGTGGTAGAAAAGTAACAGTGATTTTAAAATAACCTAGAGTAAAGTACTTCTGTGGTTTTGCTGGTAGGCAACAGAGCGTGAGCTTTCCACCTGTAAACTGTTCAGCATGAGGCCTGCTACCACTCAGAGAGTGCATGTTTCTGGAAGGTGTTGATTATTTACATTCCTTTCTTTCAAACTTTATCCTGGAAGCTCCTTCCTGTAAATAGTTTGTAATGTAAAAATTAATATATTTTCCTAATTGATGTCCATCCCAGCCAAAAGCACAGAAAGGGCCAAAGTTATTTTGTCAGTCTTGTCATAGGAATGTGTAGACAGGTATTCCTGCAGAAATAAAATCTGTGGCTAAGCAGAATAAACTTTCCTATTGGAATAATAACCCAGCATAAGAAGTATTTCTAACTGGGCTTTCACAAAAGTTAACAAAAAAAACCCAGAACAAAACCTCAAACCCAAACCACACCACCTGTTTAATGCTTCAAGTGGTGCCGTGCTGTCATTATTAGGATATTTGGAACCAACTCAAATGGAAGGATAACGTACTCCTTTCCAGCTTCACCCCAAAAGGTACCACATTTCACCAAGAAAAGTTTACTCTGATGTTTACCAATACCTAAACTTGAAATTAAGTCAAGTCATATATGTACATTAATGAAAATACCAGAACAGTATAATGCCTATGTGCCTCCTATGAAGTTTTGGGTTTTTTTACCAGAAAGCCAAATGTTTTGCTGTTTTCTTTCACCGTGAGAAACAGCAGCAAAAGCAGCTTTAGACCTTGACTGATGAGGAAGGTACGTACTTACATTAATGAACTACTCCCACAGCTAGAAAATTACTGTGCTAGTAGAAATAGTACAAAACCCATGTTTTTAAATTGCCACTAGACTGGAGGCTCATTAGACCTGCATTATGCAATGTGACGTGGACACTCTTGTCCCTTAATAATGTCCCAGCTGTTTAGTTCTGTGTTGTTTTTTTTTTAAATTTGTGACAGAAAACCATTAGTGGATGATGACATGGGTGTAACAGCTTTCTGTGTTGAAGCAAGTGTGTCTTCCAGGCTACTATAATACTACAGGTGCTATTAAGACTTTTATTTTCAGTGCTTCTGAATATAACAAATAAAAGCCAAATAGGTAAGGGCAAACTCTCTAGGAAAGTAAGTATTGTTTCTAAAACACGATAAAAACACCAAAAGGAATTTTTTTTTGTGATGGGAAACTGCTACTGTTGTTGAAATAACAGGGAGAACGAAACGAACATTTTAAAAAAATAATTGCGTTAGTTGAATTGTGCAGTAGGTTGATGTAAGCATTTTCCAGTAATTTCAAAGTATTCCAAAGCCAGCTATGCATATAAAACTATGGGTATGTTGCCCCTTCTAACAAACATCATACTTGGTATCAGTCCTGCATCATGCACATGCTGTGGGCGTGGGGTAGGGAGAGAGCCCACCTCCCTCTTACAGGGGCTGGCTGTGCAGTTGGAATTGGCAATACAGGAGGTGTGGCCGGGTTCTTTACTTGATCATGATTGCTGAATTGCAAAATGCTGGTTTGCTCCATCAGTACTGATGATAAGCAGTGGGAAGTGCATGGTTTCTGGGACAGGGAAATTGGATAGTTTTGTGTGTGGTTATTTTCCTTGGAAGCAACCTCAAGAGGGCACTTTTTTGCTTTGGTAATGGCTACTTTATAGGAATTTTCTGTAGTGAAAGACTTCATAGCTTCTGGTGACAGAATGCAGGTTCTATCTACTTGTTTATATGCCAATTAATGAATTTGCTGGCTTTTATTTAATTTTCTAATTATTGGCAGGGGGTGTTGGTTGTCACAGCACTACTGCCTGTAACTTCTTTCCCTTTCGTCCTTGCGCTATCAAAAGTAAACCTTGTTTTAGTTACCCTGCTGTTTTATCCTTTGCCTGATGCAGCTTCTCTCTTAGGAGCAGCAGCATTTTGTGCTCGAGTGCTAAAGCTGATGTGGAATAGCTGAGTGTGCCAATCACTCCCCATATTAATGGATGGCTTGATTTAGTCACACCAGGTAACTGAAATGCTTTGTTTAGGGATTGCCCTGGGGAGACAAAACACATGCAGAGCAATTTATCCACCAGAGGTGCACTTACTGAAGTGAGTCATCCCTCTGATTTCCCACATTAACTGTTCCATTTGTGCCCCCGTAAGTTGGTATGGGTTTTAACTAACCAAGCACATTGGTAACTCCCATGGAGGGAAAAAAACAAAGGAGACAACCACCACTAACTTAAATATCAAAAGATGAATTCGGCAAACATAAAAATTTACAACAGTGTTTCTATGTAAACAAAAATGTCAGGAGTTATAGTGTAAGACAAGTAAAAAGGCATTTCCTGACTATGGAAACATGTATTTTGAATTCAAGATTTTGAAATTGTTAATTACATTTATCGATACATTGTTTTGAGTTTGGTCAGGTTTGGGTATTAAATGTCTTGTGCTGAAAAGAAACAACCAGAAAAGTTCAAACATTTTTTTCCTCTAAAGCCAGAGAGAGGTAAAAATGCTGCATTTTTGAAGACGTAATATATATGATAAATATATTATACAATGGCACATACTTTGGAACATGATAATAAATATTCTTTCTTTAAACACAAGCCTGGAAAACCTTTATAAGAAGGAAATGTTGTTCCTTGTCAAAGTATCACTACCAGTTAGGTGTATTAGCTATTGTACATTACTTTGTTAAAGTAGATAAACCATAAATAATTTGAGCATTTTGTATATATTCACCGAAGTTAGATATGCAAAGGAAGTTACAGTATATTTAAATCTCTTTACAATCACTTAACACAGTGTTTAACAGAAATCATCAGGTAAAAGTGCATTATTTTAATATAATACACATAAAAGAACACTCTGGTTCTCTGCCTTCAGTTTCCCTAGAGGCAACTAGCTAAAATTACCTTTTCTTTAAAAAGGGGAGGGCGACGACACATGCTTGCTTATAACATACAGTCCAAGCAGACCTCTTGCTCTGCCTATCGAGAATCTGCAGATGTGAAGATACGGGAGGAGGAGAATCTTCTTCCAATAGCTGACAGGCATCTTTCCAATCTATGACATCCTGCTTAGGATTCCCAGATTCTGGATGTGAATCCAGCAGCATTGCCTGGATTAAGCATCTATAACACAGGGCACACAATTGCTGACCAGTTCAGACCACAGCAGGTTCCTTCAAAGGCGCTGCAGAAGGATTCAGTGATGTAAATTCCAATTTTCAAAAAAATGAAGGAACAAATGCAGAAGAGGGAATGTGACTGGGATCTTTCCATAATTTACTTTGCTTTTCTTGAATTCAGATAATTTTTATGATTTAGGGGTTTTATAGTAGCCTAGAAATAAAGCATCAAACTTGGCTCTTCATATTTGAAATATTTTGCAAATGAAAATATTATTTGAATTCTGCTAATACAATGACTTAGCAGTAGTATGACAGTGCACGTCAAATAATGCTTCAATGAGGTGTATCTGGAAGGAAAAATGTGATCTTAAATTGGCCATCTGCGCGATGGGATTATCAACGCACAGAAAGGTTTCTTTAGTTACAATGAGCTGTAACTTCTCAGGTGATACCTCAACGCTGTGGTAGCACTACGCAAATATCTGGTGGGTAGGTTACACCTACTCTCGTTGTGCAAACAGGACAGTCTGACCTTGGGTATTTCATTTGTTGTTTTAAATCAAGCAAGATGGAAGAAATTGAAGAGGTACAGAAAGGGCAGGAAAAATGTTTAAACATTTCTGGCAAAATTTCCACAGAGAGAAATTAACACTACAAACTACTAAACTGTTTTAGCTAAAAAGGAGCTCATCAGTCCTGATGATTTTATTATATGCATGTAATAAAAAAATAACAAAAGCTCTACTGGATACTTCAATTTAACTTTGGCCCGGAGCAAATGAATAACAGCATGTAGTTAATTAAGCACAGCTAGTTGATTAAAATGTATACTATAAAATCAACCAGGATGCAACATTTTGGGGTTGTTTTTTAAAATTGGCAAAGAAAGTGGGTAAAACTCCAGTTTCCACACCAGTCTGCTTCACTGTGCAAATGCCATAATAAATCACTGGAGCCCTTACTGGTCACACTGGGCCTGTGCACACCAGTGTCTGGGGCTTTTATGGATCTTTCTGTCGGTCCCTTGTACCTCACTATGGTTTAACCAACAACAACTTCTTTGAAAAAAATACTCTGTAAATCATGTGTGAAATGATTGCTCAGAGTGAGAATCAGTATCTCATACCTGAACAGACCGCACTGTAGGTAGTGGTGGTTATTCCATAATGTCACTGAAAGTCAAACCGCACGCAGACCTTTCATCCTTGCTCTGCGGACTCTCCGGCGAGACCTGCAGAGGTGGCGATATGAACCCCCGGTACTGCTTACTCGCCTTGGTTAACTTCTTGAGTTCGCTGGTAAAGGAGATGCCTTTTCTTTTGTCATCTCGTGCTGCCTGTAAAAAATTAAATCAGATCACAGATGTGATTGATATAACAGGCTGTTAGCCGTGAGATACGGAATTGGTATGAAACCAACTAATGTATTTCTAAGGAGGCCTCCCTTTTGACATTCAGTGCGGCTGTGCTTTCATAGCCAAGTGTCCTGGTCTTCTTCTAATTGTTCTGAATAAATTAATTGAAAATTATGCATTGTCAAAGTTATGTTTAGCAAATTTGGTATAAACTTGTATAAAAATCTGTACTTATGACACAGTTACTTTAAAGCAACAACTGCTGTGGGTTGGTGGCATCTGCTGGAAAGGAGAACGCAGCTCCATCTCCCAGCAGGCAGGTACTTCACGCCTGCCACGTGCCAAAGCAGGAGATAAAGCAACAGAACATTTTCACTGTGCAGGAATAAAGGGGACTTCATTCTGCAAATTCTGCCCATTGGAATAGCCCTGCTTTGCCATGAAGTGGAGCGGGGTGTGCAGAGCCAGATTTTTGAAGAACAGAAGGCTGGTAGCAAAAGCCAAAGGTGGTCACGGAGTTTGCAGGCTGTGGGGGAATCATGTTGCTGGAGGTAACTGATGCAATTTTGCAAAGAAGTAAGGGAGGTGCGGAGAAAAGAGGAATCAGCTTTGTGCTGTAGCCTCTTCTCCCCACCCACCCCATGCCAGTCGTGTCTCCCTCCCATTGAAAATGTTTTCCCACTGAGCTGAGATGCCATCTACAAAACCTGCTGCAAAGTATTTAATCTTTTACCTGAACCTGTTCTTTGAGTTTAAGGATGAATTTTCCTGCTCCCTTCCACTTGCTTTGGGCCTGGAACACACACTCTTGGTCAGAGAGAATCCTCTGAGATGGTTTAGCTGTTGAGGACTTTTTGTTCGCTGGCTCTTTCGTCACCTCTTCCAAGAGCACATAATCACTTGGATTTGGATTGCTCAAAATGCTGTAGGAGTATTTGGCTTTGCAAAGAGTCTGTTTAAAAAGAGAACAAAAGAAGACAAAAAGGAAGGCATTCCCTCAGATTCAGGTTACTAAACCAACTCCTCAGCTAGTGGTGAGAGCAAACCCCACCTTCTCTCGGGTGAAAGCAACCTCCACCCTACACGTTACAGACCTGCTAGCTGGGACCACGGTGCTTACCTGCTGTATGACATCCTGAGCTGTGCTGAAGCGGGGAGCTTTGATGACGGTGCGTGGCTGCTCTGGGGAGACGTCATGGACCTGAACAAAGAAACTGTCCTCCTCAGAGCTGATGGCTGCATCTTCCTTTGCATCTTGAAAGACGTTTCTCTCGTTCAAATTCTGTAGAAAAAAGGAGAGCCAAACTCACTCACTTCAGAGGTGACTAGTAGCTGGTGGTCACAAAAGGTTTTTGTCACATGGAAATTGGAGACTCTCCTGTTGCCCCAGCTCCATTTCATATGTGCACATATATTACTGTGTGCAGGCTAAGCAAGCATTACTAAATGCTGAACTGACCAGGGGAAGTGCCTCTGGAAATGAGAGCAGTGGCCTTCTCCTGCTCTTTGTTTCTCTCGCCCAAGCCTGGGCACTAGCATATTTTCAAGCTATCAATGTTTTGCTCATAGCTTAAACTGAAGTAATCGCTCCATCTTCCTCCTTTAAATTTAAAGAAATCACCTGTTTCATTATTTTAGGCTATCATCAATAATTTGATCAGCTTTTGAGGTTTTTAAAAGTCTTTAATATTAAAATCCTTTCTCATTTTTCTGAACAGAGAAGAAGTTGCTGACATCTAAACTGATCGATAATTGATAATTGTAGTCTGGAGTTCTGTTGTCCTTTGGTATTAACTATTATCCTTTCTCTATATTAATTTTCTATTATATCAAAATCTAGGTTTACATTAAATTAGAACTAGCAGTCAAAACAGCAAGCTAGTGGCATTGAACTGTTGAGTAGGCGATAATGATTAAACCCCACATAGCTGATCCTGGAGCTGAGCGATGTCCAGTTAGTGTCACACAGGTGTACCAAGTCTAGTTGTGCTCACTCAAGAGTTATGTTTGTTTGTAAATGATGTGCACAGCATTGACATTACTCACCGAGTAGTGAAACAAACACTGCACCCTTTTGTTTCCTGCTCCTAACGGCTATTTTTAGCTACCTTTGTAAATAGCAATTTATCTAAACCGGACTTACTTCCTCTCGGGTTTTAAAGATAATCCTTCCAACATATCCTTCTTCTGGGAACCAACTGTTCAAAAGCTGCACTAGCCCTTCTTCGGGACCAATCACTCTCTGGAATGGTGGTTTTCTGCATTCACTCTTTTCTTTAGATATAAAACTTTTCTCCTCCATCAGAAAATAGTCTGCAGCGCATGACTCGGGGCCTTTTGTGGTAGCCAAGAGCTAAGACAGACCACAAGAAACACACAGCAATTAGAATGCTAAATATAAACACTGCATAATTAGTAGTTATAAATGAGAATGAATAAAGAAGCTTTAAGACTCAATAACTATTCTGATAGTGTAGGCAAGATTTCTGATGTGCTATTTATTATTCAGATATTTTACTCCAGGGTAATGTACTGTTCTCTTTAGCCCAGCCAAGCAGCTCAGCTCTTCCAGACAAGGCAGTACTATTTAAGCTTATTTCTGTCCCGTTTGGCTGGCCAGACAATTTATTCATAATCCCAGGACAGTACAGTCTTTTCCCACTGCTAGAATAACAATCCCTGTTGAGTTAACTGGTTTTTCTACTCATGAACTTAGCCCTCTAACTTTTACTCTGTATTCCTATGGTGCTCGAGTTCAAAGAATTGCGCAGAAATGTTTGCCCTTGTTGTTTAGGACAGCCCACGGCCTCCGTCAGTCGGAAAGATTGTTTTTCTCATCTGCATACGGCCCAAATATTAAAATACTATCAGGGAACATGTTCTAAGGTTATAAACCCATTCTCTGAAGCCAAGATGGGGAAAATTTCACCAACGATCCTCTGTGTTTGCAATGCAATTCATTCCACAGCAATACAGTTGCTGTGATGAATGCACTGCAGCAACCCTGCACGTGGGAAATGCAGGGAGATCAGTGTCCAGAACGATGCCAGTGTGGATTCTTGCGGTTAAGAATCTGCAGTTCAGTGAGCAGCTCACCTGGTGGAGAAGCTGTCCAGCCGTGGTCCCCCCGCTTACACTAAAAACAGTGAAAGGCTCCGGGCCTGGAACTCCGTGAATTGTCACTCTGGAAGTTGCAGCAGCTTTCCTTTCCCCCACGCTAAACAACTGTTCAGAGAACATTCACCAGGTTACTGGATGTTTTTACACAGGCATGTTATTTTTAGGTTGCTTAAAAGAAACTGTACACACAAGTTGTAAGGGCCTTGACAGAGCAAAGCTATCCCACTAATGCATCTCCTACACTACAGATGGAGGCATTAAAAAAACAAACCAGCAAACCAAGCCCATCCCACCCTACCTTGAAGCTGAAGAAGAAAAAGGGAAGTTTTCTAGTATGTAAACTGCCACTGAACAAAGGGCAGACCTCCATCGCTTACCATCTGCACTCTAGCTGAGCTCAGACTGTTTGGATTACTGGGTTTGGAATTACTGGATGAACACCTATAGCTTCCTTTTAACCCTCCAAACCATTTATGTTCTTCCTTTCTGCCCTAGTAATTCACCAAGATACGGGTTCGGCATGTGCTGACAGAAGGGCAATGCCTGCAACACGGCTGCTGCACACACAGTAGCTCAGGAGCTTTTATCTAATGCGTTAGGAATCGTCAAAACGACAATATATGTGCTTAAAGTTACTAAACCACAAGTAACCCAGGTAACCTAACATTAAGGGCTATCAAAAAAAAGCCCAACCACATCTATCCATGCATACATACAGAGTCATATATATTACGCAGACATCTGTATGTGTATGTATACACATTTGTACATACAAGCATATAGACGTGCATGCACACGTGTATAAATATGCACGTATCTATGCAAATACAGACTCCATCTTTTCCTGTAACAGAATTCAGTTTAACTCTCATTATTCTAAAGTTCTTGGTAATTTGCATCTTTCTTTTTTTGTCCCAAATGCATGGCTTGTGCTTCATGCCGGAGGCAGCTCTGAGCCTCACTGCCCAACCACACTCCTTCCCCACCGCCCGAGTTCTTGTGCTAAATACACCAAAAGCCAGGCTTTGAAAAGATTTACCCTCCCACAGTTTCAGCCAGAAGAATTGGGCATCGGTGTACTTTTGAAAAATGTGCAGGTTTAGGGGCGAACCTCTTTGAACAGTCTGGTTCTAGAAGTCTTCAGACCATAGTAGTCATTAAGACAAGAACACATGGCACTCACAAAAAAATAAATAAGTTACCATAGACGCAGGCAGAGCATTTCCAGAGGGACTCTCCTCCATTCTCCGACTGTTTATGAACAAACTAGAAATTTCTAATGCTTCATTGTGCAGGTTATGGAGCTGGACATGTCTATAGCCTAAAGAGAAAAAACTTCTGTAAGTACTAGGACACAAGTCTCATAAATGGAAAGCTCAAATCTGCTGTGTTTATAGCTACAGTTTGCCACAGCTGTAGGATTTAAAGCACTGTAGTAACACTGCATTAACACTTTCTGTTGTACAACGGTGTAATCCAAACGCTATGAAGTGCTGAGTGGCTCATGTAGCTGCCTACCTTTGTTTTGCCATAATACTCAATATATTAATACATGAAATAGCTAAATATTCAAATATGAATGAAACAAGGACAAATTCTGACTGGGAAAATGCATGTCTATGGCCAGATCTCCTCATGTGCTGAGACTGTTCTATGGTATCACGGTGGCACGAAGCGAACGTGAAAGTTTATACCATTCTGCTGAAGAGCTGCTGGCAATATGAGAACTCCCCCCTCCAGGGGTCACAGAATTAGCGATGCTTCCTCACCTCTCTCTCACCTTTTTTCACCCTTCCTTCACCTCTCCTCCAGCCACAGCTGCAAGAAGTGCAATTCCCCTCTGCCCAGTGACCACCAGTTACAGCAGTTCCTCGCGTAGAGGAGAAGGCAGGGAGCAAACCCACTCCGCACTTCCTAAGGGAGCAGCAAGCCTCAGGGTGAACACAACCTCACAGCCAACGCTCGGGGTTGGAGCAACTGCGTCCAAGATGCCCCAGTCTCTGCAACAGCACAAGATCCGGCTTTGTACAAGTCACAGGGCAGCCTCCAGCTCCCCGGGAGTCGATGAGAGCAGCACCATGCTGCTGGGGCAAAGCAAGTTGTCTGATATTTGCTCCCTGTCTCCTCTAGAAAAATGCAACCAGCTGATTAAAAATATCCCTCTGGCAGGATTCAGTCCAGGAATCTGCTGGATCATTTTGGCACAGGGTGCCACTACAAACGATACTGTACCTCTTTTTAGAGCTTTTAGGGGAATGATTCTCTGAGCTGTTACAGCTGAGCTGTTATTTTCAACAACTGCGAACCGCAGAAAGACCAAGTCTTCGAAGTGAACTCGGAAAAGGAACTGCTCGTTCCACATGGGGTTGAGAGTGTTGCGATGGATGGGCTTCGTCCGGAAGTGGCAGCTGTCCAGAGGCATCCCCAGCACATCGACTTCAATGCACGGGCTGCCCGTGCTATTGCTAGGGCAGACGTTCTGTCCGGACACAATCTAAAGCCGAGGAGTACACGGAGAAACCAGTTAGTGGAGTAATTCTTTCACTGTCACGATTCTGAGCGAAGTATTACCACGCTCCCAAGCACAGTTCATTAACGTGCTGATTTAATTACAACACTCCGCTACTTCTGTAATTGCCAGGGCAGTAATTTCAGCAGCAGAGCTGCTTCAGCCCCCTCCCCGCCCCATGCAGTTGCTATAATATCTTTCCTCTGAAAAAAATACACTATACATCACGAGCGTAACCATTCAAGGCATCCGAAAGTTAATCCAGAAGGAATGTACCGGTAGTGTAGTCAAAAAGGATCAAGTTTTCTTCTCCATTACTCTGGGGTGATGGCACCGACCCCTGGCTTGCTTTGGCGTACACAACACAAGAAGTAGGTGTGCAATTACCACGGCTGGGAGAATTTTGATTCTTATGAATCTCACTTTTCTGAAAGATTTCCTGGAAGGGACTAGCTGCTTAGAATACTTTTTTTTTTTTTTTTTTTGTGCCATAAATCCATGAATGATATATCTTATTATATAACTTGTTCAAAAATTTTTTTTTTTTAATATTCAGCACAGCTTTTCATAGTGGCTTTTTGTGTCGCCTCTCAAGTGTTCACAAACGTGTGAAACATCTATGAATCTCCTTTTCTGAAAGATTTCCGGGAAGGGACTAGCTGCTTAGAATACTTTTTTTTTTTTTTTTTTGTGCCATAAATCCATGAATGATATATCTTATTATATAACTTGTTCAAAAATTTTTTTTTTTTAATATTCAGCACAGCTTTTCATAGTGGCTTTGTGTCGCCTCTCAAGTGTTCACAAACGTGTGAAACATCCAGGCACGTGTATAATTTGACACAGTTGTGTAGTCCCAGGGAAAATGCTTTCAGGACTGGGTTTCGACAAATATTGTAAAGGAAACAGTGAAAGTAACTGTGGATACAAACCAGCCCATAAAATAAAGACAATTATTTACTCCTTCCCCCTCCAATTTCTCTTAGTTATGCTGACCTTCAGAAGTACAAGCAACAATTAAAGGTTCAATCTTTTCATACAGAAGCATGACTGCATTGCTGGTTAAAGGCTGTAGTTAAATGTTGTCTACTTCAATCTGTTTGGCTGTGTGAAGTTCCCTTTTAATGTACTTACTGTTAAAGAATATATAGCTGGCTCCTTATTATCAAGATCTCTTTCTAATGGACAAAACTGCTGGTACATGGAGCAATTTTTATCCCACAGCACAGGAGGTTTCAAAACGTATCCGCAGCCGCCATTAGCCTCAAACATCGCTGCGTTAAGCTGCAGAGGAAGGTCTGTGGAAGTAAGGCAGCCAAAACTGACAAAGAGCAACGGTGCAATGGAACAACTGTAACAGTGGGGGCAAAGACATGTTTCAAGTATCTTTTTTTTTTTTTTAATTTTGGTTGTGTACTATCGGTTCATCCTTGGTTTTCAGAGATAGCTGTAATTTATGTATCCAATCTATCCAATACTTAATTATACAAAACTATAAGAACAATTTATTCTTTTCTATCCCTTTCCATTGCCCTTATGCAACTGTAGGGCTTGCCTACACCTGTTCTCTAAGAAGTTTCTAGGTATTTGCCCTGAACTGCAGAATGAAAAAGCATTGACTGTGTAGCTTTGTAGATGAGCTAACGGATCCCCCACTGAAAAAGTGAAGGAACAGAAGATAGGATAGAAAATGGCCCCAAAACATTTTGGTCAACATTAAACCGGCATTCAAAGTGGCACTTTAAGTAAAACATAGCTCAGTAACTTTTTGTACTTGGAATTATCAGAAAGGGATAACAGCTACTTGAACTGGGGAAAAAAACAACCTTGAGCAATAAGGTAAAAATAAAAATGGAAGGTGCTGCTGTCCAGGCACTTCTGTGCTATCAGATGTGCTGCAATGGCATAAAGCTCCTGAACTCTCAAGGACCAGACTGCCACGGTATGAACCTGCTTGTGCTGTGGCGCAAGACAGGTACAGCCCCTCTTGTGACAGCAGGTAAAGGCAAACATCAAAAACAAATTCACAGTTCAAGGACTTATTTCACATTTAAAATGCGTGCTTGTGCACCCGTACCATCTGTTTGGTAGTTAAGGGCCACGAGCTGTACGCCGTGGAGCCAGAAGATGAGTGGGTGGGGATTTGAGGAGTCGATGCGCGTGGCGGCAGGGTAGGTCCTCAGGAGCTGACAGGTTGTGTGCTGGATCAGCTTCTGGGAGTACCGCCGGCACAGCCGCTTGGCCGCGTTCTCGTTCAGGGAGGAGATATGGTAGCACTTGGGCGTCCTTATGATGGCACTGAGAGAAGCTGGAGAGTTGTAAGGAGAGCAAGGATCTTCCCAGGTCTGCCGCATCGCATCAAAAGGACCTGGAAAATAAACAGTACCTTCAAGTGACAGCTGCAGATCCAGAGATGTGGTTGTTAAACCATTTTCATAAATAAATAAATACTCAATTGGCATTTGCCCGAATAAAATAATGGAATAAAATTCCCTTCTTCTCATTTATACATTTTATATGAGGAAGGGAGGCAAGATTGAAACCCATCTGCTAAGTCTCCAAACAGGCAGTCTACAGAATGCCCGCCCTAAGAGTTAGGGGGACAAAGCCAGCAAAATACTTTTATCTTCTAGAATTAGGCACGAGACTTCTTCATTTTTAGGTTGCTGGCCTCTAGAAGGGAATCTAACCTGTCTGCTGTAGCCCTGCCCTTGGGCTGAAAGAAATGCAATGTTCCTTGAGCCAGAAAAGGAGTACAAGAAAGGGTACAAAACTCTAACTTTCTGTTTATGGCATTCACCTGGAAGGCAGGGGATCTGGGTCTTTCCCTGCTCCAGAACCTTTTCTGTACTTTCTTTGTATTTCTTTACATCTGTTCATACGCAGAAGTACAATTTCCAAATTCACAAACTGAATGACCTGCAGAGTCTAAATACCTCCAAGGCGGAACACGGAGTTGCACGATTACACGTTTGGACTTGGCTGAATTTTAGGCAACTAAGTCCTGCTTCAGACACTAAAAATCCTTTTCTGGATGCAGCCCAACAGTTCTGCTTTCCATTTGTACTTTGAATATATTCATTCATACCTTTTAAAATACAAACTTTAAGATACATAATGTACGTTAGTTTTCAATAGTTTATGAATTAGGGTCTTCATATTCCTGACCAAGTAATCCTATTTTAACATTCCACACTCAACACTTCAGCTATAATAGCATTACTGTAATAGCTGCTGCGCTAATGAAAAACCATTCCAAAGTTCAACATCTTACACATTGTAAAGTATTTGATCTTTTAACAACTTGGTCTGGTACACGTGTTGGATTACAGAGTCATTCCACGTGACTGGTGAAAGAAGACGCTAACTTTACCTTTTCCAGATGCTTTGGCAAGAGCAGCTGACTCCCCAGGGCTCAGCCTGCCGGGATTGTTGCCAAAAATGGACTTCCTGCTTTTTCTTTCTTTTCCTCTGCTAGAGCCAGATGGGTTTAGAGTTGACAAGCCTGTTCCCATTAATGCAAAATAAATGAGCCAAAAAACATGACCAAGAGGGCATGACATGTTCCATCACATTTTACATTATTTTCAAAGGCATGAATACCCCTGTTATATAGTACACAGGGCAAGCAGTGTATTTTTCTCCGTAATTTAATTTTAACATCTTTACGTACATACATGCCTTTATATACGTATATATTGTATATATTATATATGTTTATCGATATAACGTACATAAAAACTTATATGAAGCAATACAGTTATATCTCTGTGATACAACTTTTCTCCATTTCATTTTTTGGCTTGAGGAAGGTCGTGGCTCTGTCTCAAATTACCAAATGGTCCAAATCAAAAAAATTCTGCAGTAACAATCCCAATGCATTCATCCTTAGAATAATTAAAAAAAAAATCCTTTCTACAGAAGCAATAAATCTGTACAGTAGTGATTAATCTAGGATAGGATACCTACATAAATTAATGCAAAAATATGACTCAAAGATATAATGTAAAGGAAAAAGTCCAAATGCCGTTGGTTAAACAGTTTAATCTCAAGATGTTTTCAGTTATCTTCCTCTGTTTAGAGTTTGTATTTCAACGATGGGAAGTACAGTAGGTGTGCAAAATTCATTAAGCATTTAATGGCCAATACGTACTAGAAGTGGAGCTGGAAAGCTCTAGTATAGCTATTATTCAAACATATGCATTCCAGCAAAATAATCATTAAAATCATGATCCAAATCCCAGTGAAGTAAACAGACTTAATCCCCCTTAAGGTCGGGTTTTTTCTGTTGACTTGGAGAGCACCCACGGCAGACCAAAGCTAAAGTCAGTCACAACACACGGTCGTTACTGCAACACCCGGAGCAGTGAGGAGCAGGACACTCTCAGAGACCCAAGATGCACTCCTGACATAAACCACAGCAGAGCAAGTACACTGCCATTGGCCTAACTGTGACTCATAAAACGACCCGCATGAACTCATATCAGTTCACGCCTGCCTAAAAACAGTTCTGGACTTAATACTAATATTTCAACTACAGATGGAAATCATGAAGAGGATACATTGGACTCTCTCCTGCTGATGTCCATCCACAGCTGTAAATTTTCAGCTCTCAATCTTTACAGCACGTCTACATGTACTTAGCAAAATTATCCTGACAGTTTCAATGGAACTGCTTGGGTTAGTAAAATTTAGGATATACATAAATGCTTTCAGTGTCGGAGACGTCCTCTCTCTTTGGGCCAAAGCATACACATAAACCGCAGAAGATGGTAGAAGCTGAGATCAAGGAATACGAACTGACTAGAAGAACGAGGAGTTATGCACTCTGTGCTTCCAGCACTATTTAATCCCAGTTTTCAATGGATCAAATAGACTTGGCAAGGAAGATCCACGTTTCAAAATCCTGTTGTGGAGACACTCACTGAGGAAACAGACTGACCCCATAAATCACCAGAGTGTGCAATGCAAAACACCAGGGTTAACTGAACCCAACGAGGTGGCCACAGGATGAGCTGCAGCTGGGAGTTTTCTTTCAGTCTTTCCCATGGCTGTGCTTTGCATGTGACATGTCTCCTCCCAAAGACAAGCTCTGGTTTTCACTCCAATTTAAAATTGACTCCAAAACATAGCATCACCTATTCACAGAATCATAAATTCATAAAATAATGGAGGTTGGCAAGGACCTGGAAGTCATCTGGTCCAACCCTCTGGTCAAAGCAGGACCAGCTTAGATCCCACCATATTGCACACAGATCCTATCACACTACCATAATGACTGAGTAAATGTTTTTCATTTCCCTA